AGAGCAAGAAACATGAATACATGTATAATACATAAACCAAAAATGACTAAAACACACTGTTATTGTATTTACACGATGTGGAGGGTATTCACCTATGAAATATACACAATATGCAATAAATAAAACACAGGATTAGCCACACAAATGGACCTACAGCCTACATGTTATGAACATACTGCTCGTACAATTTTAATTAAATTTTCTTGCAGAGTTCAGCCTGGAACATAATAAGTTATTTATCACTAGAATTGTAAAAAAAGAAAATAATAAGTTATAGGCCATGGTCTGGAGGGGGGGGGGGTCACCGTGCACCCCCTCCCCCACAGTTAAACTTCCTTGGTATCATTTCGTTCCTACGGGCATATAAAACAAAAAAAAAATGATGTTAACTAGAAAAATATAGGGATGCATTGTACGTACTCGCGTCATTTGTAATGGTCGTTAGTGTTTTATGGTCAATACTTTTTTGAGGAGAGGGGTAACATTTATGCCCATAACTTGTGAATTAAAAATCCCATCAAAGTTATTTGATAGCAGTGTGTAGCATATAGGTTTCTTAATCATATGCAGTTTAAATAAAATTAATCCGACAATTATTAACCTCCCTAGAGGTCAAAAGGTCATCAACCTTTTTGTAAAATGCAAATTTTTTCATAAAATATCAATAAACTTCAGTGTCATATGTCTAATTTTGGATGTATTTGATACAAATTGTGTTTTTCTTGTAGTTATTAACATATGGAATACAAAAATTGAGGTTAACAAGAAAAAAATTAAAATGCATTATGTACTATTGTCAATGTTTATGATCCGAGAAATTTGTAATCAACAACAGTTTTTGGGGCAGGGGGTAACATTCATGCTCATAACTCTTGATTTAGTCAATGGATTTGTATGATGTTGGTATCAACATTTAGCATATAGATTGGTCAGTCATTCAAATTTAAAAAGTTTTGAAACAGGCAGAGATCAAAAGGTCATTGACCTACACAGAAAAGTTGTATATTTATTCACAATTCACTCACAAACGTTTACAACAGTTGTGAGTAGATTTGATACCAATTAGTATTTTCTATTAATAATAAGCATATGGAATGAAATAAAATAATAATAATATGGAAATATGGAATGATAAAAAATTATATTAACAAGAAAAATGTATAAATTGATTAAATGTATACTGTCATTTTTGATTACTTGTGTAATCAATGGCGATGTTTGGGGTAGGGGTTAACATTTAGGTTCATAACTCATGATTTTTTGGATGGATTTGCATGTTGGTGGTATTAACATGTAGCCTGTAGATTTTCTAACCATTCAATTTTAAAACATGTGAAAAAATTTACGTATCTAAAGGTCAAAAGGTCGTTAACCTCTGTAGAAAAATACAAATTCTTCCCAAAAACCATGGCAGATATTCTTTATGACAATATAATGGAAATATATAGTCGTGAAAGTTATGTTAAAAGTTTCCCACACGAATAAAATAAACGAGCAGTACTGGATAAAGACAGCTTGGTTTCTTGCTTCAAACAAGGTATCCATTCATAGAAGTCTTATGAAGATGAGCATATCCAAGTGATGAACCTAAAAGGGTCGGGGACCAGGACATACTGTACATTCGACTTTAGATTGACAAAGATTGAAATATGTTAAATACAGACACGA